ACACTCGCGGACGGCCGCACGCAAAAGTCAATTGACCGATGCGTCGACGGCGTTCCGGTATACTTTGCGCCACTTGCGTGCGAGCCGGTGTCTTTTGACATCCTCGACACCAAGTTCGACATGATTCTAGGCATGTCTTGGTTGCGTAGCGTCGATCATCCGGTGAACTTTCATGACCGAACCGTTCACATCCGTGATCGGAACGGAGTGTTAGTCCCATGTACAATCGCGACCCCTCACACTTCGATTGCTTGTCAAGTGGTTTCCGTTGCAAGAATTCTTGACGCCATTGCTCGGAATGACGTCGAGGAGATGGGCCTTGTATTCTTGCATGCTCTCCCCTCGCCGGACGGACCAGCCGCGTCACCGCCGGACCCACGCATTTCTCACCTCTTGGACGAGTATAGAGACGTCTTCGAGGCTCCCACCGGAACGGTTCCGGATCGGCCCATACGTCACGGGATCACTCTCGAGGYTGGCGCCGTCCCTCCGCGTGGATGTATCTACCGCATGAGCGAAGAGGAACTCGAGTTGCTTCGCGCACAACTCGATGATCTTCTCGACAAGGGATGGATTCGCCCTAGTTGCTCGCCATACGGTGCCCCTGTTCTCTTTGTCTGGAAGAAGAACAAAGATCTACGGTTATGCATCGATTATCGAAAACTTTACGCACAAACCGTAAAGAACGCCGGCCCTCTTCCTCGGATTGATGATCTTCTTGAGCGGTTAGGCGGCGCGACGTACTTCTCGAAGTTGGACTTGAAGTCAGGTTACCACCAGATTGAAATCCAGCCTCAAGATCGGTACAAGACCGCGCTCAAGACGCGGTACGAACATTTTGAGTGGGTTGTCATGCCCTTTGGCCTCACCAATGCCTCCGCGACTTTCCAAGCAGCGATGACGACTGAGTTTCGCGACTTGCTCGATCGCAGCGGCCTCATCTGCCTTGATGACATCTTGGTTTACAGTAGGACGTTGGACGAGCACATCGTACTCCTTCGCGTTGTTCGAGATCGTTTGCGACTAGCCAAGTACAAAGCGAATCTCGACAAGTGCGAATTCGCCARGCAAGAGCTTGAGTACTTGGGTCATTTTGTCACGCCGAAAGGCATTCGGCCCTTAGTGGACAAGATCCAAGCCATCGTGGAKTGGCCGGAACCCCGTTGCACGACGGATGTACGCTCTTCCATGGGTTTGGCTGGATATTATCAGCGATTCGTCGAGTCATACTCGAAAGTGGCTGCTCCTTTGTCGAGACTTTAGTCCCCGAAGGTGCCCTTCGAGTTCGACGACGCAGCCCGTGGCGCGTTCACTACGTTGAAGGCAGCGATGCAAGCCGCACCTGCCCTCCGTATATATGACCCCACCCTTCCCACCCAAGTGACTACGAACGCTTCGGGATACGGTATTGGTGCGGTGTTGGAACACTGTCACGAGGACGGTTGGCATCCGATCGAGTACTTCTCCCAAAAGGTGCCTCTCGTAAACACTCTCGAC